GCCCAATAAAAACTTCTGTCTACTGGACAACCGAACCCGTGTCTGTCGTTTTCTGACAATTGGCTTTGTGGCCATGTAGATATGCATCTGTAGCATAGCTCAGGCCTTATAGGCAAAATAGCCCCAGATTCCACCCAGACACGTCTATCACCAATTCATAAACTTGGAATAAATGGAGAGATCACCTAGTCTGACCCTATGATGGGTGCAGGATCAAGCAGAAATGGAAACTGCAGGACAACAGGCACCAAGCAAAGGGTTTATTTATTGACTCATTTATTGCAGAATGTCTATCCTGCACTCCTTTGTAAAACCTGGGGTGGCGAACGATTCATTAAAGTATTCAGATTTTTAAAACCTGCACAGATCCCCCTAAAACCAAATGCCCAGTGGAACAAAATAATCTTCAACACACTCCTAGAAATTCATTGATTGTAGGCAATCTGGGCCTCTGGGGGCAAGCTATTCCAGAATGAGGGCATCCATAGAGAAGGCCTGTTTTCATGCTCTCATTCCCCTCCCTTGTTGGGGGAAGGATCTGATACCTCCCCTCCCAGGTTGAACAGGATAGATGATGTCAAACCCCATGCAGCTAGCAAGACTAAGGCAGCAAGAACTCCCCAGATTTCAGTAAAGTCTCTTTCATGCCAGTCTGGGGTAAATTCAGAATCATAGAAACTGTAATAGAATTTTCCCAGCCTTACTTATACTGAGTTAATCTGAATGCTTTGAAATGCTTTTTCCCAGATGTCTCACCATCTGGGCTGAGTTGCCATTGTTGAGCTGGCTTGGCCTCTATCTCTTGGTCCTTTATGTCTGCATTTTCTGCCATTCCTTTCCCCGCCTCTCCACCATCTCCCGCAGACAGATTGAGTTTGGAGAGGCAGTCCCACAGGTAACTGTGAGCCAAGGGTTTTATGGGGCAAACCCAGCACTTTGAATTGTCCTCCAAAATCTATTGGCAACCAGTGCAGACTTCCAGGGGAGGTATGGTGGACTTCCGGGGGAAGTATGGTGAACTAAGAGGTCTCCGCAAAAGCGGAGCCAATGACCGTGGCAAAGACCAGGAACTGGTGAGTAGACTGGTTCCCTGGAATTTCTCCGGCTAAGGAGAGGACAGAAGATCATTCACGTCTGCTCGGGACATCTGCTCCTTGCAGGACAGCAGTCTTCCACAGGTTTGAGCACCATGAGATAAGGGATCAGCCACCTTGCCTGCAACCATGATGGAGCCTTTTAAAGGATGCTAAGTTCACAAGCCTCACTTTCTAATCACTTTCAGAAATTGCCTACTAACCATCTTAAAGCAAACCAGGCGCTGTTCATGCTGCTGAAGCAGCTCTCCTTCACCAGCAAGCAGGCAGCTGCCTTCTGAAGTAAATGGAGCTTCTGGATAATTGTCAAGGGACCCCCCAAGTAGAACACACTACAGTGTTCCAAATTCGAGTGGTTTCACAAAGTGGTTTTTGCAACTGTCTTTATGCAAAAGGAAAAAATAGTCCAACCTGTCAAAATCAGCACCATGGATGACAGAAGAGGAGTGCAGATCAAAATAGGTAAGGAATAAATTAGAGGACACTTAGCTGCTCTGAACGAGTTCAAGTCTCCTGGACCAGATGGTTTACACCCCAGGGTACTGAA